CAGGGTTTCCCACCCACCTACTCCTTTTAGGGTTTCAGGGTTTCCCACCCACCTCCTCCTTTTGGGGTTTGAGGGTTGGCCAACACCCACTCCGTTTAGGGTTGGAAGGATGCCCACTAGGTTTTAAGGTTTGAAGGTTTCCCACCCACCCACTCCTTTTAGGGTTTCAGGGTTTCCCACCCACCTACTCCTTTAGGGTTTGAGGGTTTCCCACCCACCCACTCCTTTTCGGGTTTCAGGGTTTCGCGACCCATTCCTTTTAGGGTTTCAAGGTTTCCTACTTTCCTACCCACTCCTTTTAGGCTTTCGGTTTCCCACCCACCCACTCCGTTCGGGGGAGGGTTTCCCACTCGTTTTAAGGTTTGAGGGTTTCCCACCACCCACCGACTCTTTTTAGGGTTTCAGGGTTTCCCACCTACTCCTTTTGGGGCTTCAAGGTTTTAAGCCACCTACTCACTCGTTGTGGGGTTTCGAGGTTTCCCACCCACCTACTCCGTGTAGGGTTTCAGGGTTTCCCACCCGCCCACTCCTTCAGGGTTTCAGGGTTGCCCACCCAACCACTCCGTTTAGGGTCTGAAGGTTCACTCGTTTTAGGGCTTGAGGTCACCCACCCCCTCCTTTTGGGGTTTCAGGGTTTCCCACTCGTTTCAGGGTTTCAGGGTTTCGCACCCAAACACTCCTTTTCGGGTTTCAAGGTTTCCTACCCACCAAAAAAACTCCTTTTAGGGTTTCAAGGTTTCCCACGCACCCACTCCTTTTACGGTTCGAGGGTTTCCCACTCGTTTGGTTTCCCACCCAACCACTCTTTTTAGGGTTGCAGGGTTTCCCACTCACCTACTCCTTTGGCAAACTTAGGAGTTCGCGACCGAAGGTCTTATGCCAGCAAACAGCAGGCGTCAACAGCCATGAACGAAGCGTTTGCACTCTTTTACTCCAACGGACCTGCAAAGCTTTGGCTGCTATGTCTGTGACGTCGTGTACACTTTACAAATCACCACGTGCCGTGCTTCCTATGGTCCTTGAGCATGCTTCAGTGCACACAGTTTCAAGGCAAAAGCTCACATGACAGAATCTACGGAGCGAAAGCGGGTTTCATCACTCCTCCTTGATGCTGCCATCTCGGGCTTGCATCACAAAGTCAGTAGATTCTGTTGCCACCGTTTTCTAGGCAACATCTGCATAACGTGACCTTCTGTACACGTCCTGCGTTCCTCAGTCCCCAACATTCCGGAAAGACGTGCAGGTGATCTCGTCCTGGAACTTGGTAGAAAGGTCCAGCAACCACTTCCCTTTGCACCGGTGGAGGAGGGATGACTCTCTGGACCGCTGGTTGGGTATCCGTTTGTACACCCTGTTCTTGTGTTTCTCGTGCGGGTACTTGGATTGGCTTCGGCTGCTTGTTCCTGGAAGTCGTAGTAGACGAAGAAGCTGGCTCTCCCATCACGGTATCAGGGTAGACAGGTTCTGGGAACCTTGGCATAGGAGACGTCCCGGCCGGCATTGTTCTTTCGAACTTCTCCCTCAAATCCACCAGACGAACCTTTTGGTTGTTATCCAAGTCGCCCGGCAAGAGGGAAAGTAGCCTCTGCAACTCTTTCAACTCCGCCTTCGTGATCTTTGCAGTTGCAGCGCTCGGGTGGCCTTTGCCCGCAAAGCTTTCAGCCTCGCCTGGCGGCCTTTTACGCATCCCTTCATCATTTCCCACAGTCCAATCACCGCTCAGCAAGCAGCACAACCACTGCATACAAGTCCCAGGGAACTTCATGTTCTATGTCCGGTTTACTTGCTATTGTTCTGACAAAGAAGAAGAAGTCGTTGAAACCATGTAGAATCCACTTGAGCTCTTCGCTGGCGAACATCTTGACCCCTTCGAGCAAAAAGGCCCCACATTTCCACCCACTGGCGTAAGCACTCCCTTGGTAGGGGTTTAGTTCCAAGGTCTGCCCTCTGAGTGTCTCCCGGTTCATGCCGTACTCTAACTTCCGAGGTGCTAACCTTCTCCTTTAGCCAGTTTGATCTCATCTTCAGGTGTCTTGTTCTCCAGCTTCCCGACGATGTTGTCAACAAAGAACACGCCGAAAGGTTATCAATGCGCAAATACAATGGCATGAACTTGCCCGTGAGCTCTTCTAGAAGCCCCTTACTAGCAATCCCAAGAACTGCACCATCGATTGCCTCGAGCAGTTCCGTCTCAGCGGTTGACATAGTCATCAGCTGCTGCCTGGAGCTCCTCCATGTAATCGGAGAATTCCCGTAGAAGACTGCAACTGCACCATGTGACCGTCCCGCGCTTGGTGCAAATGAGGAGTCCGTATACACCCTCAGTTCGTGCTCCTCCTCGTTCGCCACAAACGCCAGGCGATAGCACTTGGTCTCGCAAAGGTAATCAAGGAGCCGCTCGCCGATCTTCACGACAATCTCCGGATTCCTTGTCGCCCTGCTCGACATGATCGCCATGGCATACTGAATGTCAGGCCTCGTTCGGCCCGCGAGCCATAGCATTTCTCCAACCTTTTTCTGCGCCAACTTAACCATTTCTTCTTATTCAGGTAGCTGAGGAATTTCCCCTTTGACAATCGCTTCCTCCTCCTCAACTGAAAGAAGGAGAGTCTCCTTTGACCCTTGCGACTTTGAACTTTGTCCCATCGTGTTTGTAGGCCCTCAACAACTCCGCAATGAAGCCTTCCTGAGCCAGCTCCACTCCTCCTGGAACTCGATGTAGTTCCAGTCCAACAAATCTGATGGGGTGGTTGTAGTCAAGGACGTCCAAAGCATCACATTGCATGATGTTGTCGGGCGCTTGAATTAAAAGGTCGTCAATGTACACCAGCAGGTAACCGAGGGGCTCAGATGGGAGGTTCTCGTGCACCACTTTCCATATCTGGTTATCAGTGATCATCTGCTCGAGCATTCACAACGGCCTTCCATCTAGCCGCCTTGAGCTCTTCGTCCCTGTGCTGTGACCAAAGGGCTGGGGATTCTCGCAGTCCATAAATGGCCTGTTCCACAAACCACATGTCGCCCGGCTGGGCGATTCCCAGCTCGTAGGCGATACCAGGCGGTTCCAGTGCCACTGGTTGTCCCTTCCACTTCGCAAGGACAAAGGCTTGTCTGATGTCTGTTGTACCCAGGGACCACTTCCTTTTTGCATTGAACGCCAACATGGTTCTCAGAGAGGTAGCATCTAGTCCCGCCGCAAACAAGTCGAACCCGGCATTTTGCTCGGAGATGTGGTTCCCACAAGCCACAAAGCTGGTCTTTCTCCTGTAACCCTGCGGGCCCTGGTCCGGCTTCACCGTGTACACCCTCTTGCAAGGAACAATCCGACATTCAGGTGGTAACTCAAGGCCTTCTTCGTCTCAGTGAGGTTGTGGAATTCCTTTAGGGCTGACTCCTTCCACTTAGAAAGGTTCTTCTTGACGTCATTCAAGCTTATGGTATGTGTCACTTCCAACTGCTTGCCCTGTGCCTCACACTCTTTCAAGATGTCCTCCGCATTCTGGGTGTACTGGACCTCGGCCTTCTTGATCATCTTCTTGAGACTCACCTCAACGCGCTCCTCGAGGACTGTCCCTTGATCCACTTCGTTCTCTTTGATCCAGTCCCTTTCATCTATCTCTTCAAAGACCTGGGGCGTAGGATCCAAGGAAGTAGCTTGCAACATCTTCATATCGATGGCCCCGAGCTCCTCCTCTTCCAAGGTATCCACATCTTCCTGTATGAGAGAAGACATATCCACATTGAAACCGGTCTTGAGGAGCTCTTCTGCTTTTTCTTCACCAAGCTTCGTTGCCCTCGGCGTATACATAAGCAGCACCAATCTTTCCCCTTCCCAAGGTTGAACTTCACGCCAGAGTTTGGGAGAAAACGACACCACCTCACCCTTCTTCATTTCAATCACGCGGCCTGAAATACTTTTTCCATTGGGAAGAACTCGCTCCTCACGACCTTCACCTCCAGGACACTCGTCTTGAACCCACAATGATCCCCCAACGCAATCTCCAAGAGGCAGAACATGATTCTTTGAAGCCGGATACTTGTGAACATCTCCACGTAAACCTAGCAGGGTATTCTTGGCGATCCCAATAGCCGAAAACTGTATTTCCCCACAGTGATGCTTGGCCACCTCAACCAGGTACTGCGTGGTGTAGGGGTATTCGGTCATATTGGACCTCAGACCAGCAACTCCCCCGTGAACATAAGCTCCAGTGTACCAGGACGTAACCGAAGCCTTCTTGGAGACTTTGCGACCCACATCCCCCAAACACTCCAGCAATCGATAGAGTTCCACGACCTTGTTGAGGGAGTAGTCCTTGCCCTCCTTCAGCATGCGAGCGCGAAACTCGATTTCATCATGGATTTCTTTTCGTGTACGTGGGGTCTTTCCGGACAGTAGCTCTTCCGGTAATCCTTCCGCAACGGCGGGGGTGATCAAGTCCTTGAACTCCTTCGCGGGGTCCACGACGTTGAACTTTACACTCTTCGCCACCGTGAGGCCACCATCTTCACGAACAATTAAGTGGCCTCTTGCAACATCTTGCGCTGGTCCACGATACCATCCTCGTTTCCACCTTGAACCGGTGACATCATGACGTTTTTCTGCCTTCCCTTGGAACATCTTGGACCTAAACCAAACTTCACTTCCGAAGGGTGCTGCCGGTCTCGCCGCCCAGGGACTGCCAGGGAATGCAGCAGACCACAGTGCCGAAGATGCATGTGCCACAGCCATAGGCCATTCCTTTGCTGGAGCGCCACACCCTTTAAGAAGTGCACGTACTCGACTTTTGGCCCACTTGATTCCCAACTTCGCCGTGCTGTTGCCCGTTGGGTCTCCTCCAGCCGTCTTAGTCTGCCGTAGTTCATTGTCCACGACCCATTCTTTGAAGATCTTCGCCTTGAACTCACGTGCCCGATCAGAATGAACTTGCGCCACATGTAAGCCGCACTGCTTGAGCTGTAGAAATATCTCTTTGGTGGCACTTAACACATGAGCCGACGTCCTCCTCCTCAAGGGTCTGGTGATGTACAAGGTAACCGTTTCCTCCGCTTTTTCCAACTGCTCCACGGCATCGTCCAGAGTCTCCGGTCCCATTGGCTCAACATCTTCTCCTCCTGAGGGTGGTGCTTCTGGATCGGAGTGGCCCTTATGGTCCTCTTCTTCTTCCATTGCATCATCCAGCAGGTCCTCAGGTTCATCTGGAACATATAGCTCTGCGTCCAGCTCCTTAGCCGCCTTCTCCGAGAGGTAGCTTTTGGGGCATCTGTAGGCTGCCACCAGAATGTACTTGTAATCCTCATGGTCCATGTCTCTGCCGGACTGCTTGAAAGGTCCTGCCAACTCCAGGGCCATTGAGTAGAGGGAGGGATGTTTCCTCCTCATGTGCTTGTAGCCGGTGGCCTGAGCATTTATGCAAACCGAGCAATCTGCCCTGTATGGCTGATGGTCGTTGAGCAAGTGAACATACCAAGCCTCACGCTGTTCCTTGGTTAACTTTCCAATTCGCACGCCCGCCTTGAGCAGTTCCTCTTCCATCTGAACCTCGCACTTGTGGTAGTTGAGGATCGCATTGACAACCGCTTGTTTAAAAGCGCTTGGCCACATCTTCATTTCTCCTTCAAAAAGAAGAGAAGGGGGAACACAGTTGTTCCCAAACTCATACACGCCATCTAACTGGATCATTTCGGGGTAGTTGGTGGCCATCGTTGTAGGTCTCAAAGCCCGATGTCCGTAAGCTCCCATGTAGAATGAAGCTCTCTTCATGGAGGTAATCGATCTGAAGGAGTTCCGCAGCTCAGTTTCCCATAGAGAGGCCCTGGGTGTATCTTGCTCACGAATCACTTGTTCATCTGAAGGAAATTCCATCAGGAGGCCAACTTCCCCGGGGCCCTTCACCATGGCAAGCATCCATAGCACGAAAGTCCGCGCTACATCTCCTGTCTCGAGCTGCTGTAGAGGTGGAATAAGGTTCGGCTCGAGTCCTGAGGGGAGGTCGGCCAGGTGTCGTTCAAAGGCTTCGCAATGATGTCGGTAATCTTGCCCTGGGAAGCCGCCCACAACAACAACCGGTAAACTCCACCTTTTCTGTTCATGTCCCATAGCTTGGAGTTCATGAAGTCAATGTTCAACACAATCTTTCCGCCCTTCGGCACAGCCTCAAACGGATCATTCTTGCCCTGGTCTTCTCCGGAGCGAAGATTGACAACCCATTGATTGTGAGCCATCAAAGCACGCCTCTTCTTCCTCGTAATCGGGAGGTCCTTCAAGTACCTTTCACCGTGGCCAACGTCGAAACCCTCAACCAGCATTGCCTTCACATCTTCCGGCAGGTCCTTGGTGAAGGGGCATGTGAGGATCACCTTCAGCAAAATGCTTTGATTGCCTGAGCTGGCGTATTCCCGTAGTAGGTCCAGCCACGACTTTTTCTCCTCCTTTTTCATAACCTCCAAACGGGCCGTGAGGTTCTCGACTTGGTTGTTCAGGAGGAGGAGGAGGAGGTGTTTCGCCTCTAGTTCTCGGATGAGTTCGTGAGCTTCTCTTGCTTGGATCTCAGGGCAATTGTTCACCAACTTCACTCTCATCATTCCCCATTTCGGGTGAAAAAGCTGGAGCGATCCCTTCTTCCACTTCAAGGTGCAGCCAAGTTCCTCAATGACAGGTCCTAACGGCACTATTGGTTGCACGACTTGCCCTTCTTCATCTCGAACAAGCACTGTGCCTTGAAGGTTTTGCCGTAGAACCCGCACGTCCTCTCCTGCCAGTGTCACGGAGACAGGTTGTCCCTTCTGGTACTCTTCCTCTGTCGCCACTCGCATGGCATGGCTCGCACCGCTTTCTAAGAGACCGCTCATAGAAGCCTCCTCCTTCACAACAGAGGTCTTGAGCTGCGCTCCCACAGCGTCCAGCTTCTCTTTGAATCCCATCTCCATCACTGAGATCTTTTTCAAACTTGTTGCTGACATAGACTTTAACATCTTCCCCACATCGGCAAGCACTTCCTGAAGGTCCACGGGTGGTGCCGAAGGCAATGAGGAGCTCGCTTCTCGAGGTGGAATGGCCTCGACCTGAGGGACTTCGTCAATTCTGACAGCCTTTCTTGTGGTAGTAGTTCCTGATGTAGGCTGGGTACTCGGAGTAGAAGGACGGCGCGGCGGTCCCGCCTTTGGCGTACCAGGGCTCGGAGAACCTCCCTTCTTGGTAGGACAGTCTTTCGTAGAGTGTCCCTTGCCCCCACAGGACCAGCAACGACTGCTCTTTTCTTTCTCATTGCCCTCCCAAGAGTGCTTGAACGGGCACTTAGATCCCCTTGCACATCCTTTGTAGGTGTAGCCATAGAATTTACATGGTGTCGCTGCCTTTGCTGCTCGATCGCCATCTTCTCCTTGAGGTTTCTCCTGAGAAGGAGTGCGAGGTGGAGGCGGCGGTGTAGGGACCGTGTCCTTATTTTCCGTCCTCATAGGCTTTATCTTTGGTTCAGGCTTCGACGGAGTCGCAGTAGCCGAGGAGGTAGTTGAGGAGATCATCGTTGAAGTGGACACAGCCATAGCCTCACATTCCGCCAACAAGTGGTGGTAGTATTTCTCCACCGAGTCATAGGAGGGCGTTGTGTCCACCAGCAAAGTACTTCGCACCAAACTTGTCCGAAAACTCACTTCCACGTCCTTTTCCAAGACTTGTCTTGTCATGGTTGTCAATCCCCGAACTAACAGGCTCGGGTCTGGTGCTGCCACTTTCAACTCGCGGCATCTGCGTAGCCACCTCGCCCATGCCCTCAGGGATGTCACAGCCTTTTGCGGTTGTCTCAGACTCAGGCTGCTGCAGGCTTTGAAGGATGTGCACCTTTTCTTGGTGGCCGCCCGGTTGGTAAAGGGTGAGCAGTCTGAAGATCAAGGCACACGTTGATCCCGTAGACCTCCGCTGAACCATCTCCTGGCGCACCGTCTCGTGAAGAGCCACATGATCATTGAAGCTCCTCGGGAGTTCACTCTCCCCCATCTTCCGGCCTCCAGCTCCTCTTCTCGAGGAGGCTGAATCACCAGCTTCTCCACTGGCGAGGAGTTTGCCCAAACCACGTAGGCATCAGTAGCCGCCTTCTTCACCCGGTTCCACCACTCTGCGCTTCCATCGGAAAGGTCCTGCATTGTCGTTGTAATCATCTCCAACCAGTCCATGATGTCCACTGAACTCGTAAGTGGATTGACAGGTGGAAGAACGGTACCATTGACGACCCACTCCCTTCACCCATGCTGCTAACGCCTTCCCGGGATAACTGCTGTGGATTCCCATGAGGTACTGTGGGACCTTGAAGTGCATCGGAACCTTGAAGTACTCGGCCTGGATCTCTTTGTGGTAGAGGAAGTTCACTCCGAAATTCAGTAGGACCTTCCCGGGTTGACTGCTGTGGATTCCCTTGAGGTACTGTCGGACCTTGAGGTAGTACATCAGCCCCAGGAAGGGTTGGGTCTTGTGGTAGCGGAGCAACAGGAGGTACCGTTGGAGCTTCTACTTCAGGTATTCTAACTCCCGGTGGTAGCGGAGCAACTGGTGGTAGATTCGGAAGACCCCCTCCAGGTACTGAGTGGTCTTGCCCCTCAACACCTCGAGAAGCTCTGCCCATCCAGTAGCTTCGCTCATCTCTCAGTTGATCCACTTCCCTCATCAGTGACTGCACCTGTTGGTGGTAGCGAGCCGTGTATTCTTCAAGTTGCCTTTGTACTTCAGCTTGCAGGCGAGAAGAGTGGTCACTTTCAGGTTCCGACTGCTGGCCTACATTGCCGTATATCCATGGATGTTCCATCTGAGCTCTGCGCATCTGCTCCAGCTGCCTCGCATCGAAAAGAGGAGGTTCTTGCCTCGTAGTCGACCATGACAATGGCACTGGAGGTGGTAGTGGTTGGTGAGCTGGGAAATCCTCGGGTGGAGATATGTTGAGGGGAACACCCGTAGTCGTAGTTCGTACTTGTAGTTCACGGACCGCTTGAGGCTGGGGAACACTCGGAAGTCTGAATTGATCCCATACTCGATCCATGCCAGTAGCTCCTCTATGCACTGTAGTTCTCAGAAACTCTGAAACGCGTGCAAACCATCGACCTCCGCTTTGTTCTTGACCCTCATGTGTACTCTCTGCTGAGAAAAACTCCTGTAGCCTCATAGAGCTCGTCGGAGTCATTCTTTCCCTTCTCGCAGGCTGAGGAGGTCTCGGCGTTGTCCCTACGACCATAACTTTATGATTCATTGCATTGCCCCCAAGGTCTTGAATGCCGTAGTTTGGGTCCACTTGCTCAGGGTGAGCACTCGCTCGTGTAGTCTGAGATACAGCTCCTAGGGGTCGATCTCCGAAAGCAGGTGCTGGGTCATGTACATTCGGATTTTCCAAACCATGACCGCCTCCCACCAAGCCAGAAATCTGAGCTGCCGTTGGAACCCCATTCGGCAACGAGCCTTCAGTCGGCACGCCGTCTTCTCCTGTCCGCCTGTCCGCGGAGCCGCCCTCGGGTGCTTGGGCTAGCATAACCTGGAAAACTTAGGAGTTCGCGACCGAAGGTCTTATGCCAGCAAACAGCAGGCGCCAACAGCCATGAACGAAGCGTTTGCACTCTTTTACTCCAACGGACCTGCAAAGCTTTGGCTGCTATGTCTGTGATGTCGTGTACACGTGCCGTGCTTCCTATGGTCCTTGAGCATGCTTCAGTGCACACAGTTTCAAGGCAAAAGCTCACATGACAGAATCTACGGAGCGAAAGCGGATTTCATAATCCTTTTAAGGTTTCAGGGTTTCCCATTCACCAACTCCTTTGTGGTCTCAGGGTTAACCACTCGTCTTAGTGAGGGTTTGCCACCCACCTAGTCCTTTTTTTGACACTCACACTCGGACAAAGCCTGGCAAGGTCTGCAGCGATCCTGGTCTCTCGTTAACAAGCGACTGGCACTTACCACCAGACACAACTGAGCTACACTAACATCTATCCAGCAGTATTTGCCTAATGGATAACGCTGTCAGGCACAATATCACGAAAGGCCACCAAGTGAACAAGCGTAGACGTGTTATCGTGCTGACAGCAGGCTACCCCAAGGACAATCGACTATGCCCCACAACAAGTACGCAACCAAGGACCTAGTTCCGTCCCTCGGGTGTCCTTATATGGTTTCAGGTTTCAGGGTTTCCCACCCACCCACTCCTTTTAGGGTTTGACGGGGTTTCCACTCGTTTCAGCGTTTCAGGGTTTCCCACCAACCCACTCCTTGTACTTATTTTCTTTGAACACTCTTTTCCGTCTGCCCCGAAGGTTAGGAGGAACACCAGGTTGGCGGAGGGAGTGGACTGGGAGGCTAGCACACCTTTGGGGGGGATTCACCACCACTACCACTCATGCCTACCCATTACTGGCAACTATCAAACCTGCAGCCTCCCAATTCCATGACAGCTTGCCGCTTCCTCAACACTTCAGACATAAACAACAGCGATCCAGGACTAGTCTAGGTAAAGCAACCCTACGATCCCGCGGCACTGCCTAAGGGCGTGTGGTCCTTTGGTTGGGTGTAGTTTCGTAGCCGGGAACCAGCCTGCATCTAGATCTCATACCCACAAGACTCTGCACCGACCCGCTGCCCTGCCCAAGCAGGAGGACGGAGCTAGCTCTACGCCCATTGCATCCACCAATCGCTGCGTATTTCGCAGCAGGTGAATTTCAAGCAGCACACCCACTCCTTTTAGGGTTTCAGGGTTTCCCACCCACCTACTCCGATTAGGGTTTCAGGGTTTCCCACTCACCCACTGCTTTTACGGTTCGAGGGTTTCCCACTCGTTTTAGGGTTGGAGGGTTTCCCACCCACCCACTCTTTTTAGGGTTCCAGGGTTTCCTACGCACCTACTCCTTGTAGGGTTTCAAGGTTTCCCACCGACCTATCCTTTAGGGTTTGAGGGTTTGCCACCCACCTAGTCCTTTTAGGGTTTGACCCACCCACTCTTTTTAGGGTTTCAAGGTTTCCCACTCGTTCCAGGAAGGGCGGAACGGAGGGAGAGAGGGAGGGAGGACGTCCAAAATCCGTGGAAATGCAGAGTTTTTGAAGGCCCCAAAGTGAGAAGTCACAAGTGAACCAAAATGGAAGTCACAAGTGAACCAGAATAGAAGTCACAAGAGAACCCTCTACCTTGCGGTGAGCCGGTGAGCGAGAAGTGTGAAGACTCGAGTCCCTGAGGACCTTCGGCCCACAATATCTCCGTCCGGGTAGTGCCGCGTGTAGGACCCCTTCCAACAGCCAAGGCAAATGCATGCGCCGCCCCTGCATGCGTGCCAAGCGGGCTGAGGCATCCGCGTTTTCACGGTTGCAGTCGCGGCCATGAGATCCAAACAAACGTAGCGGATGTGTTCAGGATGTCGGCAGGCCCACCTCCAGGCTTGAAGCAATGCAGGGCATTGCAGGGCTGAAAGCTCAGGGGTCTCAAGCAGGCTGCTTCCTTTTCTCGCCGCTGAGAATTTGGTCCCAGGAACTGGTGAGATCATCTTGTATGCGGGGCTCCAACCGGCGGAGCGCCCCCGCTTAAACCTCTCAGCGTGCAGAGAAAGTCCAGCCCTCGGGAGCAGAGGGCATGGTAGGCATGGGGGCGCTGGGTGGTTCGACAACTTGCCACTTGTGCCACCACCAGCTACCAGGAAGGATGGCCGCCGACTTTACCGGGTCGCTGGCGTCGATGCCTTCAGTAGGCCCCTTGGCACGCAACATGCGTTGGTTTGCTGTGCAGTGCAAGGCAATCAGGCCACTGCCTGCCGGCATCACCGCGAACCTCGCCCAAGTCCAGTCCGCAGGGAGCTGATCCGCCTTGTCGCTGACAATCACCGCTCCGTCGTCCTTCAAACCCACGTAGCGGCCGTACCAGGGGCTGTACAAGGCAATCTCGCCGTTCCCAGCATCCACCACCCGGTACGTCTCCCGGTTCCAGTGATCAGGATTATCATGGAAGTTGCTCCTGGGACGGTAGCCCTTTAAGAAAGTGATCCCTTAGGTTCCTGCTCATATAGACTGAAAGCCATGCTTTACTCTCCGGCTTTTAAAAAGGCTTCAGGCTACACCAACGCCTAGGCTCGGGGTCCACTGCTCCCAGCTTGGATTGTCCATCTGTGAGGGCGACATGCGAAGCCAAGCTTTGAAGCCTGGGCTGTAGAGCCCCACGAGCATTCCTGGCTTCAGGTAGGGGCGGAGCTCCTGAAATTGCCACTGCTGGCGAAACCAAGCGGAGTCAAACTCCTCATCCTCGCGCATTGGCCGGCACGTGTAGCCCTTGTGGTCGTCCCCCAGGGAAACGAACCTTTTCGTATGATCACTCATGAGTCCATAGTATCCTTCCCCCCGCCGCAGTGTCCAGCGGCATTCTTGCCAGTCATTGAAGGCGCTGGCAGAGGAAGCTTTTCCATAAAGGTTTCCGTCGTCATGGCAAAGGATGCTGTTCGTTGCCTGGTTATGCAGCCCAAACGAGCCGTGGCCGGCATCCACCACTGTCCAACGCTCCGAGACCCAGTCACCAGGAAGGCCTTCCTGAAAGTCATGGGTGGCACTGGAGTGCACTTTGCCATCGGATGCCATGTTCAGGTACTGGTTGTAGTGATGGTTGTGAAGGGCAACGCTCAAGCCGGGTTTTGGCGCGAAGGGCGGCGCCGGTGGCACGTCCTTCTTTGCCCAGTCCCTCAAGGCCTCGAGCGCCTTGTCTTTGCTGGCTTGGGACACAAAGGGGATGGCAAACAACACCACAGCGAATTGGTCCGCAATGTCCACGAGCTTGAACCTCTTCTCTGAGGACCGGAAGTCTGCAAAACCCATCCGAGCACCCAGCTCCACGATGTTCCCATTCAGGAAGGCCTGGAGCTTGAAGTTCACCAGATCCCCGGGGTGCTGGAAGCTAAAGAGCTCGAAGACCTCAACACAACCCTGCCAAAACCCCTGTAGATCCTAAACCCGTAGACCTCGAAGTACACGCACTCTGCCCCCCCATCTAGACAAGGCCCCTCACAGGCTGCTTTAGAGGGGCTCCCTGCGTCTCGGCCGCGGCAAGGCTCAGGCGACGGGTGGCGGCTGAGCCACGCAGTTCCTATACTTGGAGGGATGAGAGTTCAACTCATTACTTTCTTGTTCGGATTGATCAGGGACTGAGAGGCTTTTGAAGGTTTCTGGGTTGAACAGCAAGATGCAATCCTGAGTTGACCAGCTGGCTTGGAGCCTGGAGCAGGCTTAGTTACCATGTTCTTCAACACCTGGGCCTCCACTTGTGATTTCAATGCTCTGTGAAGATACGAAAAAAGCCAAGCTTTCCAAGTACGACCCAGATTCCGACGTCAAGTTGATCCCCAAGTCTTGCGAGTAGCTAGCGGAAGCCAAGTAGATCTCATCCTCCTGCATCCACTCCAGCACCTCCGGAGCCTGGTCCTCGGACTCCATCCGCCCTTGCCCTTCAGCCTTGTCAGACTGGTCCCGGGCCTGGCGTCGGCCTCTGCCCATCTGGAGGAGCTTCGTCCTGTTGAGGACGACGTGACTACCCTCGCGCAAAAAAACCGTACTACTCAACCTTTCATGCCTGCAGTAGGCCTTTACCGGGCAGTGTAGGGATTCGTCCTGGAGATTGACTTGAAACGGTTTTGGGCATTCAGCCACGTTGAGGTGGCGCCGTGAACGTGCTCCGGCACGAAGTCCGTGTTGCTTCCGAAGCGCTTGCTGAGGCGGAGAGACCGGCTGAAAAGGAGCATGCCGCTAGACTTGATTTCTGTGCGCAACAAGCTCAAGTCGTCACGGCCGGTTGGCCAGCACACGGTGGTCTCTATCGATGCCAGCGGCGAGGGCATGACATCGAACTGCACACCACCGACGAAGGCCACCACCGGCTGGACACTGATGCCATATGACACCGTCACGCAGCTCTCGATGGCCTTTTCGCTCGTGTAAAACGCGTAGCCTCCCACGAACAGAGAGAAAGAGAGAGACAGACAAACAGAGGCAGAAAAAAGGAAGAGTGAGAGTGAGAGAGCGAAGCAACAAGCATTTAGAAATACAGGCCGACAAAGACAAAGAGACAGAAACAGACAAACATCGAGACAAAGAGAGAGAGAGAGAGAGAGAGAGAGAGAGAGAGACAGAGAGAGAGAGAGAGAGAGAGAGGGAAAGAGTGGAAGGATGATAGAGAGCGGGAAACAGAGGAGCTGCAGAGAAGCATCTCATAACTTCTCGCCTTGCCACTTGTCCCAGTTCTTCTTCATCCAATCGTTTCCACAGGGCACGGCCCAAGGCTCCAGCGCCACGAAGTCGCCCTCGTCCTGAACCTGCCACCACAACGAATGCGAAGGAAGAGCCTGTTCTTGGGGTGTTCAGGGTCTTCTGATGTTGTTTTTGGTTGAGGGAGTCAAGGTCCCCGCCTGCCAGTCGGTTGCAGTAGCCTGGGAGTGAGTCCCGGACTGGGCCCCGGTCTTGTTCTTAGGGGCGAAGGCCAGGCAGGAGCTCGTGTCAGTCTCGTAGCCGTTGAACCTGAAAGCAGCGGCTCTCATGCAGCGACTGAAACACAAGTGCTCTTCCAAATTCTGCTCCCTTGCAGTGGGGTCTTTATCATATAAACTGTCGGAGCTCTGATGAAGGGCATCCGGTGGTGCAAGGGCTCTGCATGGGCCGGAGCAACTGAAATTCGCCTAATCAGAGAGGAGCAGCCTAAATTTTGCATTTCGGTTGAGGCCATACATCGCATCAGCTGCCATGTTCAAAGCGCAAGAGTAGAAGCCGCATGCTCGAAGCTCGAGTGCAAATTTCCTTGTGGTGTCGTGCCTGCGACTCGTTCAATAACCGAAAGCTGGACGTGGCTCACAAGTGCTGTCTGGATTCAACAGCCGAGGTGACGGCTCTTGGTTCTTATGCAGAACCCCATCGTTGAACCAGCCAGGTAACAGTTTACCATATCCACATCTGAAGCAGCTACAGCCCAGGATGGTGAGATTACTACTGCAGCACTGGGTGGAATCAGCAGCACTCCCAGCCGGAGCCACAAGCTACAAGACCTTGGAAAAAAGCTTAGAGCCGTTTAGAGCCTTGCGGCTTTTATGCCAGAGGGGCCGAGAGCAGCTCTGAAGATGAGCTCTGGACTGGACGTGATTTTAAATGTCCCGAGATCACAGCTTCTTCGAGGAATCCCAATTTGAAGGTTCGCAAAACGCTGGTCCAAGAAAAATGCAAACGGCATCCCAGGATGATTATCAAAACATGCGCAGTGTTTGTGTTGGATTACGTGCAAGATCCGGCATGCACGCAAGCACGATGTACCGAAGAAGTTACACATGGATTGCATCTTAAACTGTGGTGCACAGAGCTGCAGCGAATGGATGGTCAGTAGATGGATTGGATGGCAACAGTGCATTCAGCTCTAGCTGACAATGAAGACATGTCTTGCCATCACCATCGTTGATTCGGCTGGCTGCTGCATACAGCGCCGTGTGGAATGAGAAGTGGTCCGCGCAGTTGAACTAAGACTAGGAACGGACCAGTGCATGGAAAGCAAATCCAGCTCCCAAGGTGCAGTATTGCGAGCCTCGAAACCATCCATGAGCAACACAATGTGGAGACTGTAGGGTGAACAAGGCGTCTTTGCAAACAGTCCCATGCATGTCGATGACATCTTAAGGCAACCTGGCGTACAGTGGTGAGTTGGGGGTCACGAAAATCATAACAGGTCGCCTTTATAGGCGACGCCTTGCTCAGGGCCGCTATGTCGATCCCCCGGAGTGTCTGAGTCTTCTTTCTGTGCCATGTGCGAGCTTCAGCGAACATCCAACATGAAGCTGCAAGGGAACCGTTCTAAACCCGCCCGATACCTTCAGTGCAGTAGAGGGGCTGCGTGATCAGCTTGGACACGTAGCTGTTCGCCTCCTTGTGAAAGTTAAAGGTGGGCCCATCGTCCGTGACCTCCGTCTGCAGGGCCGAGAACTTCGGTTTGTGCTGCTGGGAATGGGTCTTGATGACGAGGCTGCCGGAATTGTGCACCACAGGCGGGGCGCCGGGGGGTGGGAACTTCGAGAGTGCTGCCTGTTGGATTAAGGAGCCGCCGCCCTTCAGCACCTGTCCCGCCACCGTGGCTGCTACCTTCGCGAATCCCTCCAGGACATCAGCCAGAATGTCGCCCATGCGGCTGAGGTGGTTCAAGGGGGGCACCTGGTCGATGATCTTTCCGCCGAGGCACTCCACCATTTCTGTGCAGCCCTCGAGCTCACCGCCCAGCAGGCCTGCGTTCGCCAATTGTGGATGGCCCTTCCCTGATCTCCGGTCTACGAGATATGTGCCGAGTTGTTGCACTTTGGGCCACTCGATCTTGTGTAGCTGGTCATTGAGGACCTTTCCTGCGATACACTCGACCATGTTTGTGCAGCCCTCAAGCTCGCCGCCCAGCATGCCTGCGTTCGCCAATTGTGGTAGGCCCTTCCCTGATCTCTGGTCGACGAGATATGTGCCGAGTTGTTGCACTTTGGGCCACTCGATCTTGTGTAGCTGGTCATTGAGGACCTTTCCTGCGATACACTCGACCATGTTGGCGCAGCCCTCAAGCTCACCGCCTAGCATGCCTGCGTTCGCCAATTGTGGTAGGCCCTTCCCTGATCTCTGGTCGACGAGATATGTGCCGAGTTGCTGCACTTTGGGCCACTCGATCTTGTGTAGCTGGTCATTGAGGACCTTTCCTGCGATACACTCGACCATGTTTGTGCAGCCCTCAAGCTCACCGCCTAGCATGCCTGCGTTCGCCAATTGTGGTAGGCCCTTCCCTGATCTCTGGTCGACGAGATACGTGCCGAGTTGCTGCACTTTGGGCCACTCGATCTTGTGTAGCTGGTCATTGAGGACCTTTCCTGCGATACACTCGACCATGTTGGCGCAGCCCTCAAGCTCACCGCCCAGCGTACCTGCGGTCACCAATTGGGGTAGGCCAAAAAGCTGAGAGCCCTCCGCAGGCGTCGTGAGATATCCGCCTAGTTGTCGCACACTGGACCAATCCATTTGGCGTAGCAAGTCGCCATTCAGCACTTCCTTGGCAATGCACTGAAGCACATTTGTGCCGCAGTTCCCAAGCTCACCGCCCAGCATGCCTGCTTTCGCCAATTGGGGCAGGCCTCCTGCTTGGTCTGTGAGATATCCGCCGAGTTGTCGCACACTGGACCAGCCCATCTGGTTTAGCAAGTCGCCATTCAGCACCTCCTTGGCAATGCACTGCAGCACATTCGTGCCGCAGTCCCCAAGCTCGCCGCCCAGCATGCCTGCTTTTGCCAATTGGGGCAGGCCTCTTGCTTGGTCTGTGAGATATCCGCCGAGTTGTCGCACGCTGGACCAATCCATTTGTAGCAAGCCACCATTGAGGACCTTTCCTGCGATACACTCGACAATGTTTGTGCTGCAGTCGGAGAGCTGTCCGCCCAGTCTGCCCAGGTTCACCAATTTGGGCAGGCCACGGAGCGCCCCTCCTTCCGCGGGCTTCGTGATCCAGTCGCCAAGCTTTTGCACGCTGGACCACTGCATCTTGTCTAGCAAGTCGCCATTAAGCACCTTCTCGGCAATGCACTGCAGCACGTTTGAGCAACCCGAGAGCTGGTGGGACAAACTCCCAAGAAGCTGGGTGCCCTTTGCTATCATCCATCTGGTGCCGGCGCTGAAGAGATTTACCGTATGCCCCATAAGCTTGAAGCCGCATGAGATCGAAGGATTCAAGATTCGCAATCCCCACCACGGATCCAACCGAGCACCGATTGCTGGAAAGCTGCAGCCGATCCGTTTTACGGTGTCTTTGACCTCCTTAACCGATCTTGCCACCAAGTCGAAAGCGCTGGTGCCAGCATCAACTAGCTTCTCGTTTTCACCACCCGACACGGTAGCATTGCCGAGCTCCTTCCGAATCTCGTGCTTGGCTTGGCCTTCCAGCAAGATCGTGTTTTCAGACTCCGGTTTGTTCTCCCGTTGCCGGCGATGCTTCTCAAGCACTCTCTTGAAGATGATGTTTGCCCGTTTCTCGCCTTCTTGCTGCCTCCTTTTCTTCGCCAGCAATGACAACCCGTCCTGATCCGCCTTCCTTAAGTCGTTGAGCTCGATCTGCTGGAGCTCCACGACCGTTTCCTGCGGCCGAAAGAGAAGGAGATGGACAACTGCTGTAGCTGTCGTGCTTTAAGAGAAAATCGGAAACAGCTCCATGAAAATACGATCCAAACGCCCTATAAAGCTGCTGCCAAAGGTGCGAGCTCGGCGACCTCTTGGGTCAACTAAGTCTTTGAAGACGTCCTACGGTTTCGGGCTTAGGGTTTCCGAAACTCCTGCCTTGATCAGCAGGAACTCCAAGTTTTCGGCCAAGCCTTTAAAGCCATGGTCCTCCGACTTCATGCCCGTCTCCTTGTTCTGCTTCGGAACCTTCTCCTCCTTGAGCTCCTCCTCCGACTGGCCTGTGATGCTCTCCTCTGTGACGGTCTTGGCTCTTTGAGGGGCTTCGAGCGTTGAAGGAACCGTCTTCATTGCCAGGCTCAGGGGCGTGATCGTGAAGATCAGCCACAGCAGCATGGTTTGCTTCATTCGTCAGAGATGCGACGTGAAATAAGAACTCCCGGACAAGCGTTGATTGAGGGCTTGCCCGAACTTGAACCACGAGCAACGCATTACTGTCACTGATGCGAAGATGTGGTGTCAGAAACTGCAGGGGCAAACACTGCCTTGTTGTAATAGTTACATCGCCGACAGGCCATGCAAAGTAGATGCAAGCGATTTGCACTGCAAGTCATCCGATGAGGCCTTCTGTGCAGGCTCAGCAAAGCAGATGCGGGTCCTCAGCACAGCACCGCGGCATCGAGTGACGACGGACACAAACAACGTCCCCAATCGTCTCACTCAGGAAAGCGCACCATTGCCCCGTTGTGCATGACCAAGTCCTGGAGTCCTGACAGAAGGATGCAACGCCCCCTCCCACTGATTCCCAAACATGCTCCTCGCTGCAAGAACGCTCGCGCGCGCGCGCGGGAAGGCCACGGCCCCCACAGAAACGGGGGAAGCGGCGGCTTTCTTCTGGCATCTTCAGCCTGCGATGCTTTGGATCATCCTCCTCTTTTTGCATCTCGGAGCCTACTGCAGAACCAGTTCGACACCGCTGGGCCGTGGAAGGGCCTGATGATCCACCGCCGATGAAAGCTTTACACGGCAGCAGCACTTCATCTAGAATGTTGTGATTCTGCATCAGGCCTCTCCAAAACGACTGCTTGGCTACTCTGTTCCGAATTCTGCACGACAATTCGAGCAATAATAGCATGTCTTCCAGCTCGTGGTGTCTTTGCTCAGCTCGTTTTGCTTCTGCTCCAGCTCGTTTTTGTTTCTGCTCCTGCTCATTTTGGCTTCCTCCAGCTCGTTTTGCTTCTACTCCAGTTCGTTTTTGCTACTGCAAGATAGGAGATTAAAACCTTCACAAGCAGGCACGAAATGGCGCAAACGGACAACACATGTGCAAATGCTTGCCATTGATCCAACCACGAGGAGCAAGCCTGCTTCAGTGGAGATGTCCCCTGATAGCTTAGACACTCGAGCGGCCGCTTCGATGGGGAAGTTGCATTACGAGTGGCTGTCGCACGCAGTGTTTCGGCAGAAACGGCTTGTCACGAATGTAGGTATACGGAACAAGATAGACAGAAGGCTCGAAACGCCCACAAACAACTGAATATTCGTGCCCTGTGCTATGATCGCCATACTTGCTCTGATCAGCTACAAGCAACATGTTGGTTAGTCAGCCTGTAAGGGTGAGCCAGGCACAATTAGCAGATAAGGCCGTGGCCTCAAAATTGCGCAGTAGGAAGATGTAGCAAGATGCCAAAGCGCATCCTGGACTGAGTTCGACCAACAACTTGGCTCGCATTCCACAATCTTTCCGCGAGCAAACCAAGAGGCATGAAGCCAGAACAAGATTCCGACGAGCAGCAGCATACGTTACGAGAGCAGATGCAATGACATGCAACCGCATGTGTTCCAGAGCTGCAGATTCACGGTTTCGAATCACTGCGTGCACCTTTTGACACCTCTCACTTCGATGCTTCGGTGCTGGTGAGGGCCACGACAGAATTCACATCGCCGATAGAGTGGAAATCGCCAATTGGTCCCGCAAGAGAAGAAGCCTTGACTTTGGGTTCTTGTAAGTATGCCACGCCTTAATCTACAGAAGTACGAAACAACATGCACAAGGAGCGACAGATTCCATTCGAGATATACAAAGTTGATCACCAAAAGCCCTATCAGTTGTGGACGGAATTGTAAACAATGTTGATGTTGCGACTTGTTGTCGGGGCCACTGTAGTTGCGAATGAAGTGGTGCCAGTGGTGCTGGCAGTGCTAGTGCTGCTGGTGCTGCCAGTGGAATGTTGGCACTGAACATCCCCCAAGACCCAAAATAGCAGTGCTCTTCTTGCAACAAGGACTCCCAGAAGACTCCAAATTCACAGAAGCAGCCAATTGTTCAAGCCTGGCAGCAGATTCTTCGTCCTTTTCCTCGCCCCTTACGCCAATGAATGAGATGTCTTCCACCTAAGTGGCTGGCGACCTCCTGCAGGGTAGGCACAGCCAACGAGGCATGCCAATCTGCAAAATGTTCAGCATGTCGCGGTCTTTCGATGCAGGTTCGTCTTGTCTTGGAAAGACTTCGCACATGTCTGCTTCGCACACGCCGCCAGAAGTGAAGTGCACACCGTACACATCACTGAACATAATCCAAAGAGAACCTAGCAGCTTGGGCAGGGAGACAGGAGCAGAACACCTGCAAGACTTCGGCCACTCACCTGCATAGGATCGGCATTGTATTTGGAGTAGCTGTCGCAGCGTCAGCACTGTCCTGGTGTTTTCCTGAGATGTCTGCAGCGAGGTGTCGACATCGATCCTGGCTGGGGCTTGCGTGAGCCCCACAATCCGGGACCCTGAGTTCGCGCGTAGTCCGGCGCAGGGTCCGCAGACCTGATCCCAGAAGCCTCCCGCAGGCACTGCAGTCACTGCAAGAGAGAGGCGACACGCCTGGCACGCAACTTTGCACGCAACTTTGCAGGCTACTTCGAGGACGTTTCGGTCCAAGAGCCATCCTCGCTCAGGCCTCGGTATCGAGGGGCCCAGCTCAGCACAGCCGAGCCGACGTATGCCGACGTGTCAAGACGTCCCTCCCCTCCACAAAGCCGACATGGCAAGATGCATCAAGGCCTTTAGGATTCCGCGGATACTAGGTATCCGTCCGTTTCGGTAGCAATCCTTTGGCAAAGCTAAGGCTCCCCGGTGCTACACAGAGGCGAAGACCTGGGCCGGAGTCTTCAAAGTGCACCAAGCTAATGTCGAATCCTCGTGGCACTGAGAGCGGGCCATGCCGGAGGAAGCAGAGGCCCACTTCACGATGTTCCGCATACAGGGACTCTCCATCTCTTCCGTGAGCATTGCCGCTGTTTTCTAGGCGCCCTCAGACGCATCCCTTCAAAAGCGGAACGTTTCGCCCAGTTCGCAATAGAAAGTGGGGAGCGATGTACAGAGACTACCAAAAGACTCAGGTGACCGAACGAGACTGAATGAGGACGACGAGTGCAGGGCTCAAGGTCTAGAGCTTTGGGAATTTCCATGCCGCCCCACTTGCGGGAGCAAAAAAGCTCACAGGGCCTGCGAGAACTCCTGGAACGGATACTCGAACGGCCCCCCAGCTCGGCGGACGGAGGGCCCTTGTCTCAATCCCGGCGTGGCGCCACAAGCTTAGAGCAACGAAGCACACAAGACGCGGCCTTGCTGCATAGCCAATCCCAGCACCCGCCCTCCGGCCTGGAAACTCAAATCCCTATCCTACGATAGTATCTATTGGATTTTCCATTTTTAGAATGGAGACTTTAATAGTTTCCATGTAATGTCCCATTGCCATGGAAAACTCGGGCCCGCCCGGCAGGGACCTCGGCTTTCCGATATAAACAGGCCTTGCATTCCTGATGGACACATCTCTCGGCTCTCCTAAGCCTGGCGTGCCTTGAAGCTCGTGTTCGCTCGCCTCGAGCACAAGCAAGAGGAGCTTTCCATCCTTCTGCCACGTCGACCCTCTACAGGACGTGGTGAAGACGAATTTTTCCGAGGTCTATGCCTTGGAGGCTTTGCCGGTTCCAAATGATTCCCGGCAGTACCCAAAGTGCCCGGCACCGCGGCGACACCAAGCCTGGTGGCGTCTTCGCAATTTTGAGGATGTCACGGTAGCGCAGCCGGCTGCTCCCAGATCTGCGAGCGACTTAGCAACTCGAGGTCTTTGAGATATCAAATGAAGGGTTGCTATTTCCTGTCTCAACGCCTTTCCAACATCAAGTCTGGAGCCAGTGTTTTGGTGCATGATTGCACCTGGTTGGTCTGTTTAGGGTGGGCACTGCCGAGCCCTTATTTCAAGCAGCGTTGTAGTAACTATTGTAGTAACTGAGAGACTGGGCCTTGATGCTTCGTGGAATGTTTGCTTGTCAGTAAACACATGAGTCAGAGGATAGGTGGCCTCAGACTCTCATACTGTCATGGCCATGCACACAATGCGGTGCAGCAGTTCGCTGCATGACGTTTGCAAGTGTCTTAAACTGAGGGTCCCCCTTCTTGCGTGGTCTGCCACTACAGAGCAGCGATGTTGCGGAGCCCACAGTGTCAAGGCGCTCTTCTTTTTTGGCGCAGCTTTGACTCACGTTTGGATGAGCGAGGTCATGGGCCTCGGCGGGGGTCGGCGGGTGGCAAACGCAATCAACTGCACAACGGATTTCGACAGAGCACTCCCGGAATACGAAAGGGCTCTTCTTCCTGGTCTCGGGTGTTGGCGACTGCAGCTCGAACACACTGACACGGACGGCTGCAAACTGCATTTTGCTTCAGGAAGGCCACGCTCCAAGCAACGGCTTACATCAGCGGTGCTCTGTCGAAAACCCGCGAAGTGGAAAATCTAAAACCCACGAAGGTCATCGTTTCCCACCGGTGGAGAGAGACTGTGGCTAGTGTGAAGCCAAGCTTCAGTCTGCAGTCTAGTCCAAGATCCAGGAGGACTTTTCTCTCCTTTTGCCTCCAGGAGTCGCCTCTGATATCAAAGGCTCTGAAGCCTCTCACATTCGCCCCCGACGAAAGGGGCAGCCCGAAGAGCTCCCCAAGGCAGGTCTCCTCCTGGGGGCACCTCAGCGATGGAGAAACCGAAGCAACCGTCGGCTTTTTGAGATTGACTTGGCTGTTGCTGTAAATTGGAAGGTTTGTTCTTTAGGGGAGGTGTCCTATGTTTAGAGCCCTATACTATTTGAGGTCAACAAAACGGGCCCTGATTTTTGAAAACTCCCAATTGAATGCTGAAGGTCGTGCGGCCGATGTCGAGAAAGCCCACATTGCATCACGAGCACGTGGCTGCTTCCAGACATTGGGGTTCTTTTTTTTGGGTGCCGGTCATATTTTTGCTCTACTTCCCTCTTTGGAGGCCGAAGTTCATAGCATGGAAAAAGAAAAGCAAAAAGGCATTTTAATTTCATTAACATGACCACAGTGGAGAAGCAGCATTTTCTTGCACAAGGGCCTGGTGT